TGGGGAAATGGGCGTAGACGTATCGCATCTTGTACTTGAAGCCCTTGGTGACACCGATGATCAGGTTCTCGATGAGGGAGCGGACGGTGCGCAGAGTGGCGACATTCTTGCGGTTGCCGTGGTGGATCTCGATCGAGATGGTGTTCTTCTTGGGGTGGCCGAAGTTGACAGCCAGGTGGCCGAGGTTCTTGGAGAGCTTGCCTGTAGTCCTCCCATGTCAGAATGCCGTTTGCTTTCAACGAATCGAATGTGCCGGCCAAAAGTTTTTTCGTCATGGACGAGCGATTGGCGGGCGGCGGGTGGTGATGCTTCGTACCTCGGGGACCCTCAACGGTGACGATTCGGGTCTTGATGCTGACCTTGACTATTCGCAGGAAAGATCCGTGTCAGCTTCCAGCTCGTTGTAGAAGAAAGAAAAAAATGCGCATAGTCCAATCCAGCAGGCAGCTTTCCGTCGTGTCCCTCCCTGGTCGTCCGATCCAATTCCCTCGTCTCCAACAGTAGAGACGTAAAAGTCCTCCTCTTCCTTTGTCTTCCCATCACTATCCCAAGCAACAGAGACTTCCTCCAGCGCAATCGATCGAATCTGCCGGCTCGAAAGAGCCGTAAAAAAGAAACTGGTGAAACGTACCGCCCTCTGGGATTTCCAGAGTCTCCTGAGAGTGAATGTACCTCATGGCTGCTGTGACTTGGGGGTTGTCGGGGCGTTGAGGGTATCTGGAATCGTCCGTCGGCGGTCACAATTGTTTGGCGGAAATCGTGTGGGCAGGAAAAGTTCTAGGGCTCGCTCCACGTGAGTCGCAAAGAGTTGTGCAGCCGAATTTGAGCCGTTGTGGGTGCGCGGGCGGGGCGCACAGGCTCGAAACGGCGAGGTGTGACTTGGCACGTGACAATCTTGGAAGTTGAAGGTCTGCTGGCAAAAAAATGCCGACTTACCTAAGCATCCGTGATTTGATGAGCCTCAGCCAATGGCTTTCAAGGCATCCAGGGGAGGTTGGTGTAAGGCAGCGTGCCTGATAACAGCTCAACATCCTCTCCTTTGGCCTGATAAATCGCAGCAAAGCTTCTTGTTGAGAAAAATGTAAAGAAAAAGATGAAACAGAATCATCCATTATTTCATACTCCAGTCGTGCATCAACCCTTCTGTTGCTGGATGGCCAGCCACTCTCTGCGCTGCTCTCTGCCATCCATCTAGTACTGTCTACATGCTGTCTCCGCCACATCCGCACCAGCCCTCCCGTACTCTGTACCTCGTCCGCCTGCATGACTCTCCCCCAGCTCTCCACCAAAGCTCTGTCCTCCAACGTCGAAGCCAACATCCCCCCCACTACTGTTCCTAAACGTACGTCAGCGCAATCCGCCAGCCTTGCAACTGTTACGCGACACCTTCGAATCGCTGCGGCGCATCTTGTTCGTTCGATTGCACTGAATCGCGCGGATCTGAGGCTCAATTGCGTAGCAAGAGCTCAAGTTGAGTAGCTGCGCAACTGCGGTCTCCCCTCGAACCAAAGTCCGGATACGAGCAGCGAGAGATATCAAGGGCAGGACGACGACGACGACGACGAAACGGAGAAGACGGGCTGAAAGAAAGAGGAAGAGGAAGCCGTCCATACGCTCCCTTACACAAACAACACACCATCCAAACCATCACATAGGGAGAGGCCATTCCACCTCCGCCAACCGCCACCATGTCCATCTTCTTCTCAACCCCCGTCGACATCGACATCGTCCTCGATGACCCCGACAACCGCACCATGGTCGACGTCAAGCTCGACAAGAACCGCCGCGAAAAGGCGCCCCTGTACATGGACGGCGAGTCCGTCAAGGGCGCCGTGACGGTGCGGCCCAAGGACGGCAAACGCCTCGAGCACACGGGCATCAAGGTCCAGTTCATCGGCACGATAGGTACGCAGCTTGACCACTATGACCAGGGCCACCCCGCGCGCAGCCGCAGTTCCTCCTCATCCTCCTCTCTCGCCGGCCTCCTGACCCCTTCCTCGTGGAACGCGCCCGCCATCCGCCTGGGCCTGCAGCGGCATCGGCAGCTTACTGACGGGCTGGTAGAAATGTTCTTTGACCGCGGCAACCACTACGAGTTCCTCTCGCTCAACCAGGAGCTCGCCGCGCCGGGGGAGCTGCAGCACCCGCAGACGTTCGACTTCAACTTCAAG